CCCCCCCCCCCCCCCCCCCCGCTCAATTATCCACTCGATCTTCCAAGGAGCGGATCAGGGGATCAGAGAAAGCATTGGCAGGCATTCAAAAATCAGACCCAAAACTACTCAAATGGGAGCAATCACGACCCAAAAATCCCCATAGATGCTAGCATTGTAGATGCCAGAAACCTAAGCATATAATGGAGGTTGCATCCCTGTCGAGGTTAGTTCGTCGTTTTGGGGCGCTTGTTGCGCAGGGTTTGATAAAGAAGGCGGTCCCCACGCAGACCCGCAAAGACAAGTAGAAAAAGGTAGGGGGAAAGGGGGCAGGCGGGGGCCGTGCTTGACCTGAAAAGAAACAGGGGAAGGTACGGCCATAATACAATCAATGAAATGCTACGGTACTCCGATACGGAAACCTGTAGAGAGGCCGAAGCCCTGTCAAGAAAAGAACAAGGATATGCCGGAGAGCAAAAGTAGAGCACTTGAACATATGCATATATGACCATCATATGTGGAGTCCTGCATTTTCTTGGTCCACGGCCCAATGGTTGCACAGTCGCGTCTTGTACATAGGATTCCTGCGATTAAACGGAAAGCGGGACCAGAGACACGGCAGCGACATCAGCACGTCCTTGCGACAGCTGCGGCCCAGTTCCTCAAAGCGTGGACACGCGACTCTCGTCTCTGGACCAGAGTACTCGAGACCGGCACCCGGCAAGGCGCTCATGTACCTCGAAAGCCGAGCTGTGGATGTGACTGGGGAGTCGGGAGCCGAAGTCGACAACGACGAGAGGCTCACGAATCACGACTGTGCAAAAGCTGAAAATAAAAGCTGAAAATATCTACCGCTGGGACATGGATGAATGGCATCGATTTTCCCTTCTTATCTACTTGTGGATTCGGGATTGTGCGTGGGTCGGTGCTGGCTCTCTCCCGAGGTGCATGGGACGCATCCTGAAGACTCTTCAACGACACTTCAGCAATTTGCACACATGCGGTACAGAGTGCCGCACCAACCGCTCACATGCTCGATGTGCTGCACACAGCTGCCACGGAAGGAGGCCTGCAAGGAAAGCAAGCGCAAATATTCCGGTTGCATTTCTTACCTGTACTTACAATCAAGTCTCATTTGCCAGAATCGTCCGGCCAGCTCTGCTGCCCTTTGTGCTCCCACTCCGCCGATCCATGGTGCCTGTTGCCGCCTTTTTCTGTGTCCCACCGTTCTTGGTTCAATGTGGCCCTTGAGCCGTTAGCGTTGCAGTGACTGACCAGACTCGAAAAAGGCTTGCAAACAAGTCTACATAAATCGCCCTCTACTGCCAGCACCATTTTGCTCCATCTGCCTGTCTCCGGGAACAGCACGAAGCGCAAGTCCTTCAGCTCTGCCAGCGGCAAAGTCTCATCCACATCCTGGCAAGCCATTTCGGCAGTCAAGGCACTGCCTACAGCCCAAGTGACATGTCTCGGCTCACCTCCGGGTCGCCCCGGAAGAAGAGCTGCCTCCCGTCCACGGCTATTCCTGCATTGCATGACTGTCAGACTGTGAAAAGAAACGGAACACGCCCTTGCCCGCTGCAGTTGCGCCATTCATGCAGTATGAAACCTTAGCTGTGGTAAGCAGATTCGAGCAGCCCCACTTCCTGCGAAAGATACCTCATAACATGCTTGTAATCGACGGTCGCAGAATGGAATGTAATCTGCCGCATGTGAGCAGCCATGTCAAAACCAGTAGCCGAAGTCCGAAGAAGGCACATGAAACCTCTGATTTGCTCAAACTCTCACGATCGCTGTGTCCTAACGCAGGGCCAGAGGCCAAAAGGTCCCGGACAGATTTCAAGTCAACGGGCTGGGTCTGCTTTGGAGCACGGCTTGGGCCAAACAACAAATCCAAAAGGACCGGCGAAGCCGCTGCGCCACCGTTCGCTGATAGAGCCGGGGCAGCCTCCTTGAAAATGCCAGACAGGATGGCACCGACCAGGGGCTGTGTCGCATAGATTACACCAAGCTGTCGCTCACGACCCTGCAAAACCTGGTCCCTGCCTCGACTGTTCAGGAACCGTAGGCAGCATTGGGAGATGCACTTCTCTTGTCCAAAACTTGCAGCCAGAAGTGGCATGGCAGAAGCCTCGCTCAACAATGGTAGCGGAAGCACACCGGCGGAACCAGAGGAAATACGGCTTCTTCCAGATTCCAGCCGTCCCCTCGCTGCCTCCTCTAGTCGTGGAAGACCTAGGATTTTGGCAGCACGCAGCACGTCGAAGCAGCGCAGAGCTTCCTCCACCTGCAACACCTCCTCGGGCCGGGAAGCACGCGCAATCGGTCGTGGACTCTGCGGGCTGGACGTCCAAAGGCTCGTGTCTTCTTCGTTTGCACCGGGACCGGCAGAAGCAAAGCGAAGTGCCACCAGCAAAGCATCTTTGCAGATCTTCGCCGAGCTAAGATCAACACTTCTCAAGCCGGGCGATTCTTCGTGCAAGAGGCCAGAAAGTGTCGGGACACAGGCCGCCAAGTGGAGGCCGTTTTCTACACGGACGGTAGAAGACGAGAGTCGAAAGTCGATCTGGAAGTTCGGCTTTACTTGCTTGGGGCTTTCCAAAGCTGCCCATACGGAAGGCTCCCCCCAACCCGGCACATCTGCCTCACACTTCAGCCGCTTACGCTCCGCGAGCAATGACTCCCAACTAGCCTGAGCGTGAGGAGCCGCAGTGGTCAAGCTCCTTTTGCATCCTGTGGCTGATGATAGCTGCCATGATGCCTGCTCCATCACAGTTCCTCAAGACTGATCGGCATGGCATGCACAGGCAAGCGAGATTCTGGATTTCAACAGCTGCTGTCTTTGTTAATACCCAGCAACTGCAGCTTTTGGGACTCGCTTGATTCGTGACTAAATCCACATAGCTGTGACCTGAAAAATAACTGTGGACACCACAGAACAAGTATCTCGTGACTCCTGCCCTGCCTGCCGCCGCGAGCCTTGCACGAACTTCGGCCAGCGTAGCCTGCTGCAGGCAGTCTCGCTGGCTTTACGCTACACCAAAGAAAGTGGCCACCGCGGCCACGCATTCCACAAGTTCTCCGTGTTTCGATTCATCCAAAGCCTTGAGGGCCACGCGCATCCGAATGGGAACCTGACTCAAGGAACCCGTCACAACACCAGGTCAACCCTCACCTGTGCAACGACGTAAAGCTGAGCACCGCATCCTGTGTTTGTGCAGGTACGGTGCGCGCAACACTGTGCAACGATGAATATGCGATGGTGACAGATGCTGGGTATCTAGAAGGCCGACGTTGCGCTGTCTTGGATCCCCGCCATGACAGTGACCCGCGTCCTAGCCTCAAGTCATGTCAATAGTTTTGCAAATGCAGACAAGCTCGGCTCATTTCAAAGGTCCTCTCGTGTCCTGTCTACATGCAGGAATCCTGAAGTCTCGCATCGGATAAACTTTAACTTTGCCACGGGCCGCACAGGAACAAACGTCGCCGGCAAGAGTGGCATGACGGCTCCTCCATGCTAGTCATTCCATACTGAGACGCAACAGCTTTGCGTTGCAGTGTATCTTGGCACTCACTCCCTTTCAAATCATCAACGAGCAAGGTAAAGCAGCCCGTTGCCATGTCCTGACCCAAAAGATGCAGTACTTGCAGACCTGTCGGCCTCACAAACTTCGGCAATGACTGTTACAGCTTTGCTTGAAACATTCTCTGAAATCGGGCAGTGTATCGAATCGAATGCTCCTGGTTTGTAAACTTGACCGCTACGGACAGCGGCTAGCGGCTCGAGCAACCTGCACATCCACTTCACCACCTGCTCGTCGAATTTGCTGTCATGGCCGCCACCGGCACCCCGAAGATCCCAAGCGTGCCTCACATGCAGCACAAGCATGTGCCAAAATATGCCAAAAAACACCGCAAGATTGAACGCGACATGCTGCATTTATTGTCCTATGTTGGCATGGAATGCAACCTTGCTGCACGCCAACCTTCCATGTTGATGAAACCTTCGAAAAACAACCTTGCAACAACATCAACGGCACCTGAACTAAACGAGTTGCGGTTGCGGTTGTGCAGAACTTCTACTACGGGAGCGCGAGCGTGATTTTTGGCAAAGATTTGCCGCGGAGCTCATGGCGATCTAAAATCACCCCATGTCGGAAAAAATGATGTCATGCTGCTCTAATCGAAAAGCAAAACCTAGTGGGAGACTCAACCCTCGCATTAACATGGCTCACCCGGAACCGATAGGTTGCAAATGGTTATCCACGTGCGTCGAGTTGTAATTTCATGCTTGCCGGCGAAGCCATGAAACCTCTTTCGGTCCTAAATGGCAGCATTCGCTCACGTGCGACTGGCCAACAATTCAATCTGTTCAATGTCTAGGCAACTCAAGCTCACGTCTTGTGAATGTCTTTACGAGGTTGCCTTGCTGTTTTTTGCTCCTTGTTGTTCGACCCTTCGACCTTTGCTCCGGCATGCAACTAATGTTCAGCATGCGCTACTTCTAACTAATTGTTATTGTTAGGTGTCTTGGCCGCTCACCTTGGCCCACCTTCCAAATGAAAACAAAACCTTCGTGTTTCGTGCCCTTCCCGTCCACCAACAAGCAAAACCAAACGATTCACAACCACAATACAACTGTGCACCAAACTCGAGAATGATCTGTTATCTCACTTCATTGCACTCCCACCTTTCATCTAGCATGGTCTCGAAGCATCGTGCTGTGCGTAACCTTTCACCAGCTGCTGGGGCGTGTATAGACGGCACGCTGTAACTTGGAGCTTCTCAAATTGTCAAAGCTGCTTCTCCACAAGCCTAAACACAACTCCGAGCAATTTCTTCGGCTGTGGCACGATGCCTTCTTCGCAAAGTACAGTGGACCGACAGCCTTGTTCCAAACCTTCACCTTCTGTGCCATCAGTTAGCCTCGAATCGGAAGCAAGGCAGCGTAGAAGAAGATCAAACCTAAGTTTTTGCTGGCTTCTTGCATTATTACTCTGAGACAAAAAGTGCGAGTCACCCTGTGGATGCAGTGGCTGCAGTGTTTCTGCAGTCTGCAGCGCAAAGCCTTTGCGTACAGGCGACACGACGGAGCAAACAAAAGCAAAACTGCAGGTGGAGATCACCCGTAAGCCATGGAACAACAACAAGCTGACTGTTCGGTTGAGTTGCCAGCAATAGTTCCGATACTGCCGGCTGCGTTCCTGGTTTTGTTCAGATGATCAGACATGACGTGGGTCTCAGACTGACAAGTTGAATGGATGGCAATTGCACCTGCTGCTGCTACATGTGACCGCTTAAAGGCTGTTTGTCCACGGCTACTTTTGACCACGGGCGAACATGGGTCATCTGACAATTGAAATCAAAGGGAGGCAGAACTTCGTGTGGAAGTGTGTGGCTTGAGTCAAATAGCAGCCCAAGGACGGTTGATCCCAAAGGCCATCACTTCAGATCGGGTTTAAGCAAAACAAAATCGCGCCTACTACGCTCTTCGTGAAACCTAGTGGGTCGCTGTGCATTGTTTGAGTGGAAGTTGCACCACGTTCAAGAATTTGTCAACCGCTACCAATGAGGCTCCACGCACAAAATATCGGGCGGGAGAGGTTTCAAACTTGAATCTGGGTTTAACCAGTTCACCCGTTGGGATTTTACCATTGACCAAAAATGAAAATGTTAAGGTCTTTCTAGTCACCTCGGAGCACCTCTTTTCCAGGTCTTACACTCTGAGATCGTCTTGCTTGCTTGCAACACACAAGAAGTCAATTGGGCAAACATTGGCCGTGCAATGCATCTTGAAAGCAACTCGAGCAAACAGCACAAGAAAATCCAGCTCAGGTTTAATTTTCCAGACTCAATCAAAGTGTCTCTAATTGCTCTGCTTCCGAATTGCAAGCTTGATGAGCTATCTACGAGCCACTCCAAGTGGAAGGCGCCAAGCGACGTCGCAGACTTTTCGACCCACTTAAAGTCGCACCAAGATCTTCAAGTGGAAGCCAAGAACTCCGAGCCGTTCAAGGCGAAAAGCAAAAACAAACAGTAAGGAACAGACAAAATTCTCCAAACAACGCACAAGTCTCATCTCTCGGACAAGTTTTCCTCAAGCTCCATTAAAGTTCTGTCCCCCTTGCTTTGCTTTCTCGAGATCCGCGCTTGTCCTGCACATCTCCCCAATCTTCAAGCGGTTCGGTGCGTGCTCAGAACTTTCAAGGCCAGAAACTCGCTTCAAACCCTAAACCCTAAAAGAAGCCGTAATCCCTAAATGTGAGAACCAACCACCTGAGAGGTCACGCCCGCCACTTCGGTCTCCAAGAGGTGCCAGGGCAGCCTTCTAGTCCTTTGTCTCAAGACTCTATCTTTCACACTATCCAATACTGGGACGGTTTTTGAGCCAGTTTGAGGCGCCAATAGGGAGGGGGAAACTGTGCGGCCCGGGGCGCTGAGGGGTATAGGGGGAGGGGGGGGAAGGGGAGGGGAAGGGGAGGGCAGGAGGGGGTGGCGCCAAGCATGGCGCCCGAGTAGTGCC